TTATCCAAAAAGAATGCAATTTTAAGAGCTGCACAAATTATTGTATGAGAGATGTAGGAGGCTTGATTGCTAGCAAAAACATAGACAGCAGTTAAAATTCGCCATTAAAAAATTCTCTGGCTAATCTATTGATGCCAAAAAAAGACTTCGTTGAAAGGGCATTAAATGTTTTCAATGCTAATATGACATTCGTGTGATTTCAGCTGATAAACAAGATCTAACACGCTAGAAATCTTCTCGGCTGTCCGAACTAGATTTCAAAACTTTCTCTCTAACAGTCTGCAGCTAATATGAAGAACAATATAATAAAATTTAACTGTTTTTTATGCCTTTCTTTGTTTACCCATAATACAGATTGGAAAATAATGCAAGTACCCTTATAAGTAGTCTGATAAGATAAAATTTAAACGTCAGAAAATAATAAAATTTTTAATAGTAAAATAGACTTTAATTCATTCCACCACCTCGACATATCTAATAATAGCTGAAAATGGTGTTTGCTCTGCTTGAATCGACTAGTGCCTCCCATGAATATGTAATAAATAAAGTCCTAGGTCAAAGATTTTGTTGTACTTTTCCTTAAAATAATCAGCACATTTCAAGGGACTAAATAATCACCTTGATTCAAGCACAATCCGTCTAGAAATTATAATCTGGAGGTTAACTTGTTATAACTTTGAACATGTATCCTAACAAAGAATGTGATTAAATAATAGCTCTAGCTTGTCTAAAGTGTGGACTGTAGTTCAGTCGGAGTGCAAAAACTTTTCAGAAATCACCCCTTAAATCAGCTGAAGCAGTTTATGCTGACTCAAGACTTAAATAGAAGTACAAAATTTTATCTACCATTTAAATATGTAATCGAAATCCATTAATAGATATTAGTCTACTCGAATGAATCAAAAAACCTTATACATATTCATTTCTTATTCATTTAATTATTCATTTATTAATTTTAATCTTTGCTACTTTTCACTGTTAGAAGATTTAAAGCCTAATTACATACCGCAAACTTCAAGCTTTGCGTGCTGGCGCAGAATACAATCGCATCCGACTTGCTCCTCTGTGGTCCAAGTGATCCTCTTGTAGGTGTCCTCGTGGCTGGCATTTTGGCCCAATGAGGATTGTTTAGTAGTTAGCGGTCGGCACGGAGATTGTCGAATCTGCCGGCGAACCTTTGAGCAGGTCACCTGAATTTTGGAAGAATCACCGAATAAACAAGACGGTCATGACTTTGGACTGTAATCACAGACTTTTACTGACTCTACGATAGAATAGATAGACCTTATCGCATTTCTACTACATTTATAAAGTTCGGTATTTACGGGAATTTTAAACTGCATTTATTTTGCAAATATTAATGCTAATTACTTTATGCCACCTCTTTTCGATTTCTATTTACCACGGCAACCGTGAGCACTGCACGACTGCGTTGCTGGACGCCCCCCACTGCAGGATTGGAAATACTTCCCTTTTCTTCTGCCCACTATGACATGATGTGCTTCAGAGCAAATACTATAAAGACTTGATACCAAAAACCCTTATTCCTCTCAGCCTCATCAGCTTGCGCCATACAAACTGTCGGTGAACCGCCCTGCCAGACATTGGGTGAATGTGAGGTTGGGGCCTTGTTGCTATGGTGACACAAAATGGGTCTCTCCAGACGCCTTCAGAATGGATGGGGCACAAACATGGTCGCTGAGGCGTCATTTGTTGCGAGTGCCTCGTCCAGCAGCTACGAGGCACGGGCAAACTGTACAAGAGACTAATCTCAGACAAAAGTTATTCTATAAAATACAACAAACAGGATCCCTTGACAATCACCTTTTCTCGATTAACTTGACGATGCAGATTGCAGATGCACTGGTCGGCGCTGAGGGCATACCGTTCGAGAACCGTCTCCACAAGACCCTGGCGCTGGTGACAAATGCGATTCCTTCTCGGCTGAGGGCAAGTGCAGTCGCAGGTGCGCTTCTTCACCGTCTTTAGGCATGAACAACCAGCTTGACGATGGGTGATGCGCGTTTCAACCAGTTTCTGCGTGACTGGATCACAAAGGGAGCTTGAAGAAGAGAATAAGTAAGCGAAGGTAAAGTTAGTTAGTGAGCCGGAAATTGCATGCTGCTTGCTATGATTGCTTCCGAACACTAGAATATAGTATTAATGTACCGAATTTGCCTGCATAAAAGACGAAATGAAGAAGACTCATGAGGGCTACGTCATTAACTGAGTGCGTTTAGCAAAAAAGTGTGGGCAAAAGTCTCACAAAAGCAAGTAAGCAGTATAGGTTATGGCCTTTTGCATGTCAAGAAGATGTCATTTGGATGAATAACAATTCTGTACAGCCCAACACTTGGACAATTTAATGATTTTCCTCAAAGCTTAGTTGGCTGTATAGCAACCTTGTCCACAAACCACAAACTCCAAACTGCTTGATGAAGGACTAACTTAAACAGAATCGGAACATACTTTAAATTGGCTTCTTGGTGAAAGGGAAAGTTGAGTTAAAAGACCACAAGACTCAAATAGATCGGGTATTCGCAATATTTGGAAGACCCAGATATCGTCAAGTTTTTTTCGGACATACACGATGTGCTCATCGGACTAGGCAGACTTAAGTGAGTCTGGTTACAACCGAAAGGAGGAATGGGCTGTCAAAAGACTGTTGTGATGCTCTGGCTAGAAGTAAAATTGCACTCCAAAGATGGTCGAAATGTCTAAAGACAGGGTAAGAATATATTCCACAAGATAGGCCTCAAATACACACCAGCTTAGAGAAAAGGTATTTCAAGGGTGAACATGTGTTTTTTCATTTAGAGCTAACTAGTCTCTTTCTAGAGCCTGGACTCTGGAAAGTCGACCTTTATGGTGGCTGGTCAAATCTTGGAGAATGACGGTCGAAGGTGAATTGAAGATAAATAATGCAAAAACTATCTCGATTTACAAGATTGTTGAATATTTGACCCTTAACGACTTAAGAATAGTTGGTTTCTTACAGCAGCCGAAAGACTGATCACTGGAATCGGACTTTACTTAAGGTCTATCAATTTTGATGAAGCCCGGTACCTATTCCGTGTAGATTGCTTTAATACAAGTATGAAGAAAGGATCCAGAAGATTCGCTGAAACAGGAGTAATCTCTTTGCCAACTCTTTGTGAACACTGTAAAAACCTTTAACTTTGAAAATTGTGATGAAATACCATTTATGCTGATAATGTTTTGTCTAGTCGATCGTACATGTAGACCGACCCCAACCCATTTGATACTTCCCAAAAGCAAGTGAAAGAAGACGAATGCGTTTTGATCTCACTCGTAAAGTCTGTGAATGCTGTCTTCTCGAAGCAGTTTTACTACTTTTCCATACAAGTGTCATCTCAAAACTTGTCCAATGCCAAAGTCCCTAAGGCGTCACATGACTTTATAGACTTGTAAGAGGCCCATCAATTTGTGGATCGCTGACGTGGCCTTTTGCATCAAATATTTCCTGTTGATTAAATTGAGCTTAGCTAATGGCAATCTTATTCTGTTTCATGCAAAGCAAAATGTCGCTAAAGGCTACGAAAATTCGCTGAATCTGAATGAGTTTTCGGAAGAAAATTTCTGACAACTTAACTCTTGAAACTAGGGTACAAAAGTAAAAACGATTTTCTTGGCCGTTCCTAGATATGCTTAAAAAAAATTAAAGAGATTTTCCTACCAATTGGTTAAATATATTGGAATAAGAAGACACTTAGAGATTCTCAGCCTCAACCGAGTCGAATCTTGAGGCAAGTTCGGCCTCTTGCAAAACGCTTTTAGAGGAGATAGACTTGGTTCTCAGCTCGTTACAAGGGCGGATAGTCGTTTAAGGTGAGTTAAGGACTGATCATTGAATTATCCCACAAAAAACTGAATGATTATGACTATCTGTCCTGTTTAAATTCACCTATTTACAATCTCACCATGGGCGACCTAGGGTGACAAAATTCTTATTTAAAAATTAGTGATAGCCTCGAAAACTACTTACGTCGGAAATAAGTAACGTGGTCAATTTCATTAGCAAACATTTTTGTTTAATCGACAATCTTACTATTAATGCCAGTTGGGACAAGTGTGGCTATCCTTGAATGTCGCTTCTGCCTTGTTTTTCATTTGTACGTAGGATTTCGAGACTACCAGTAAATCAGATGGGATGTGTTCATCTTATTTTGTTTAAGGCGATGAAGGATTGGTAGTTGAATTTTGCCACAACGATGAATGTCACTTACGCTATTTTACATTCAATGGAAACCTAAGGTATGGTCATATAATTAGGGAAAATTCTACTACCAGTCCTTCTGCTTTGTGACCGTTGCTGTAGCTGTTACTCAGCGTCTGAGTTCGAATCCCGCAGGAGGTGCCGGTGCAAGGTTTAGACTGCAGTCCCGCCTGAATGAGATAGCTTTTGGGGAAGCACTTTTGGGAAAACTCATATATCAATTCTTAAGCCAGGCTTTGGCTGCATTGATTCTTAACAGTAACGATTCCCAAATGCAAGATCTACCAAAACGGGATGAGCAGGTTGCAGTATGAAGGGAGCCGACCGTCTAGGTCAGCAAGCGAGACCCTTTCCGAAACCTAACGTGGCCAGACTTTCATTGAAGAAGAAAATACTGTTTTAAGGCAGAAGATTCGCCGAGCTAAATAGTCACTATGGCCGGCCGATATCACACGAGAAAGGGGCTGTAGACTTGAATTCCTAACTAAGCATCTGTAAAGAAAAGTACCTACATTTAGTATACTTGTGTTACGAAAGTATGTTTTATATTGAAGATATGAAGACCAAGAGTCGGACTGAGGACTTGGTACATTTCCAGACGTTTCGCCGGCATATTCAGTGATCCAAGGATATAGGATAGGTGAATACGCTAGGACTTAAGTAGAGATACCACAACTGTTTATTAGACGATTGGTTAGAGGATCGAGTTAACTCGTCTCCTTGATGAATTGTAGTGGGGTGCTAAGAATGACAAGACTGGCCGACGATGCCGAGTATGATGCCGAAGAAACGTCTAAGAATGTATCATGTTCACGGTTAGACTCTGGAAATTCTCATGCAAAATATGGGATCTGAGCAAGGTGAGTTCCTCTGGGTCTGCCTGCAAATATGACCAAGGCGTAGAAGCAAGGTCAAACAACTTCTATATTTTATATCGTTTGCGCGAGTTCTATTTCGTATGAAAGTGTAACCCAGCGGAGTTTTCGTCCATTATATGATGGATATGATCATGGCTGGAACGCATTCCTGCGGTAATTTCAAGTTAACATTAGGTCAATAAGACTGTTGAGTCCTATTTTTCGTCATGAATATACTCATAACTAAAAAATGAAAATATACATATAGAGATGGATGGATATAGAAATATTTGGCCATACCTCTTTCATATTGGTCAAGCCACTTTTACTTGAATGAGTGTGTGCTTGTGAGTGTTAACGTCTCTGCTCACGTGATAACGTCAAAGTGAATACAAAAACTTAGTGTCAGGCTCGGATTATCAAGACATAATGGCACGAAATAGAAAAAATACCCTTACCGAGACAGCGTAAGTGCGTAAGCAACTCTGGTTGAGTTGATGAGATGTAAGTTTGTACTCGTAGACAGGTTACGACACAACCCGTCATAACCCGCCCGGCCATGACAACAAAAGCTTTACAACCCAAGGATTAACATGACTGAGATTTCATAATCTCGTAAGTCTGGTTTAATTAATGAGCTTAATCTACCTATTGGACGAGTGTGGGTGAGACCAAAACTTTCACTGTGCTGACAGGTTGAGTCGACTTTTTGGATGGCGACTCAACACCATCTCGCTTTTTTTCAATCTTTCAGCCATCTAAAAGTAGTTCCTAGTCTACTTTCTAACATCGCTCCTAGCATTCAAACTATGCTCTAGTCTATTAATTTCAGTAGCTTTTCTTATCTTCCCTTAAACTCCCGACATACCCTAACCAGCAAACGTATGCTTTTGAGACCATCCTATCGGCTGCAGTCTTTCGGTGAGATCAACGAACGAATCACTTCATCATGATCCTAATAAATATACAAATATTTTAGATCAAATATATGGAAGAGATAAAAACTTCTACCTATTACAGCACCAGCTCAATATGTCATTTGATGTCAAGGAAGCAAATAACCCAAAAAAGCTTCAGCCATTATTTAAACATACAGTACTACACCTGGTGTCCATATTAACGGATTCTTGCTATAAATACTATAATA